GCTGAATTGCACAAAACGCATGATCGCACCGGCTAGTCTGGTGCGCGTTGCCATTTATTGTATCTTTGCACGACAAAAACATATTGTAGAGAGTGCATGCTGTGTACTGTTTCTGTGTATTATATGTATGTGTGTGTACGTGTGTGTATGTGCGTGTGTGTGTGCATTAATTCGTCGGTAAAATTGTAGAAACTGAAGTCTCACATACAATCCAAAGGGTTTAAATTTAACTTCACGTAGCATAGGTTTTTTCGGGGTCTTTACCGCACTGCGGCGAAGGAGTGTTTCTGTTGAAATAGAACTCTGAAAGTGGATGAAATTGAAATTTCTTTTCGCTAACTCAACACTGATGGCAATGATTATTACTATTATCATTATCACTATCGTTGTGATTAATATTGTCATTATCATTATTATTTTTATTACTGTTATTACAGTAGAATTCATTGAGGTCGGTATGGAGGATGAACAGCGCTTTCTCTTCGAGAATCAACTGCTTAATTGCAAGAAATGCGACAAGATGAAAACCAAATCTGAAGTAGCCAGAAATACTATTAACTGTGCCTAGCTCACAATTGTGAAATAACTTCATGAAAAGCAGTGCTATTGCAGATTTCTGGAAAGTAACTCTCGAAGGAAGCAGCCATCGATGGTCTTAGCAAATGCCGCAAGCAGCTGCTACCGCTCCGATTACTTACAAATGCTTCTGCCTCTCTCAGTGTGAGCAGTGCGGCTTTTTGCTTACGGTTTCAGTGTGCTAGCTCACAGAGGCAATGCTATAGCTCATTTGTGAATTCCTCCTTAAAGCGGCAATTTTTACCGCATAATACACTTCGACTCTCTCAGTGGATCGTGCCTTCTTCGCAGCTTTCATGATTTACAGGTGGGCAATGTGGTCATCGTACCTTCTTGACATACATGCACTGCCCATTTCGAGGGCACTCATGAGTTGTGAAAGTATCGCCGGAAATGGCCACTATCCATGTTCTGTGCAGATATGTCCCCATTTCGATTAGTAGCTGATCGCTGTCGATGATCGAAGCTGATGCTGCCTGGCAGATTTGTTCCCTTGGAAAAATTTTACTCAAAATGCTGTTGTTTGTTTGTTTTTTGGCTTTGTTGAGGCTTCTTATAGCTTTGCGGTTGTTCTCTTCCCTGTAGATTAATCTGGATCATTCGAAAGTAAGCTTGAATGTTTTTTGACTGAACAGCCACTGGAATGAGAATAAATCAGAAGTACCAATTAGTTTCTCACTATAGATTGCTCCGGTAATTATGTGAAATACTTTTATCTCGACACCCTATTCGAACATATTTGGCGGAAATCAGCGAACATGTCTGCTACGGGAAACAAAATCACTGTACAGCAAATATAATAATTGCGTATAAGTCTTCTGTGGGCATACGTTTTTTGCAAGGTTCTGACCGTGGAAATTATGATTGCTTCAATGCTCCAAAAATGAAAATTAACTGAAATTATTTAGAGATAAAATTTCCAGATCTAGCAGCTATAGGGCTGGTATAATAGCCAAAATAGGGAAGAAAGAGAAGCAAGCAAATTTTATTACAGTTACGCGTCATTAGATTAAGGGGGTTTTTTTTTCAAATTTCAGCTTTTTTGAAGATCTGGGGGAACTTGAAAATGAAAAACAGATACAGAAAGGGGTCCCCATTAGTGAACGGTTTTACACTTCTATGAACATAAAGTATGTAAAAAAACCGAGGCACACTGAAACCCAGCAATCGAAATAGAAAGGACATAAATCCAATTAAACAAGGGCCTAATTTAGTGATAGAAAAGCTCAAAAAAAGTGAAAACTTAGATGAAAATACAAGAAATGTTCGCGCTTAGACGTTAAATTTGAGCAATTTACGGCAAAGTCAAGATCCAGAGTGTCATTCAATCTGAGCAGGACCCGTTTTGTTCAAACAATAAATTTTTGTTTCGCCAACTCCGTTTTGATTATTTCAACGTTTCAGTGTTCTAGCTCATCGGGCCAAAATATCTCTTTATCTTTCTGCACCTCCGCTCTAAGAGAGTTAAAAAATGCCAAAATTTTTCCGGTTTTTGCAGATGTTTCGACACGCATTATGTATTACATTGATAATTTTTGATTTGAGCTTCACTGTGGCTCAATTCATGGTACCTTATGGAATGCCTTTTGGCGCATTAGGAACGCCCGGCATGATGGCTCGTACGTTTCTTTCATTTTAACTCAAATCCATCCAGAACTGTTCCCTCAAAGTCATCGTCATCACAAGGTAGCTCGTTGCGCCTGGATACTATTGGTGTGAAGTGCACAGTGTTATCGAGGCAACGTGAATTTGTTGTTTTGGCTATTTATAATTGTATGCGTCGTCACCGTCGCATGTGCATAGTATCATTGGAGATGCGTCACAAACAGCCTTTGCACGGGTACCTCTTCCTGACACACGGCACTCACTGGAACGAATAAAGCAACACGTCTTTGTATGGCACATGTATTCTCTTGGGGTTTTACTCCGGAAAATCACGCGGAATTGTAAAAGAAAGAACTGATGGCATACAGCTGTGCTAGGAATATTGTCGCATTCAACATGAAGAATGCATCAAAATTAACGTTAGCCTCAGAAACGTCAAGACGTCCCTCGATCCTCGTCTAAATATGTTACCACTGGGACATATATTAGGATGGAGGCGTGAAGACGCAGGGGAGGTAGTGGAGGAGAGACGGCAGAGACGAGGAGGATGGAAGGAAAGAGGAAAGGATCATGAAAGAATTTCTGTGAGTTGAAGCTGCGAAACTATCAAGTTATCGAAATCGTTCGGGTGATCGGCGTGGAGATCCAAAAGCACCAAATTACCAGATCTAGACAATTCAGTTCTTCCTGCACGGCTGCTGAAAAATAAAACTCGTATTTTAAATTTATTGTCAAACAGTCCTTGTTTGTTTTTCCTTCACAGCTACTTTTATTTTTTGACTTTCATTCTTCAGTTTTTTTTGAGAAAGTTTTCAGAAAAGTTCCCTCTGCTTTCGGCTTTTTTAACATTGTGGCTTCTCATAGTCGAATTTGCTTGGCGTAAGTTATTTTAACCCATGAAAAAATTTCTGGTATTTTATCCCAGGCCCTGGAACACTGAAACACGCATTTTTAGCATACATAAATCCACTGGGTTACGGTGGACTAGGAGTCGGCATGGGCATGGATCCGCTGCTAATGTCTGGCATGGCCATGAATATGAATATGCTCGGCAACCCGTTTATGCCGACAAATCCTTATGTTGCGCCGTTTGGTTACACAAATAATGGAAATACTTTTGCTGGTTATGGTGCGCAAAAGTACGGATCACCCTTTTATCCAAGGACAGTGGGTAACTCACTGAAACGATATATGCCAGGTATTATTACTACTGTCATTACCATTGTCATTATTATTACCATCATTATTATTAACTAATGGTTAGTCGAGCAAGCGCTTATTTCACTATTTCTGCTACTAGAGAATAAGTTTTTTCAAAAAACTTTTTCAGCTTATCATAAACATCTCAGAAAAAAAATCTTGGATTTTGTGTTAAAGGAGATTCAGATACACATTTGGCGCAAAGTTTACAGGCGAGTTTGGCGCAAGTGCATTCGTCAACTAATCGATAAACAATAGTATTATCAGCGGATAATTTTCAGGATTCGGTTGTATGAATCGTCCCGGATGCAGTACTGGTTATCAGAAGAAAGAATGAGGGCCAGGGACCAGCAATTATTGTTTTAATTAGTGCTCATGCCAGGCGAACGGTCGCATTTTAGTAACATTGAGGACCTTCACATCAATGATTTTAACATTGTTGACAGTACCCATGCCCATTTTGTTTCAATGTTTGCGACGGAAAAATTCATTTTTTCATAAAAATTCTTAGCTTCTTGTGAGTTACATTTTACCGCGTTGTGACGAGGAGCGCAGTTCTGCATCGATTACAGTATCATTTATCATGCAATAGAGATGTTTTCAAATGATTGAGAAATATCCATAAAAAGATATGATTCAGTTAAAAAAAATTATAGATATTATGAATGCACTGTATGCTTTTTTGGGCAAAACAGGTTCGCCTGATCAGAAGATGGTAGTAGCTCAGGAATTCATTCCTCCCGGAGTTTGTTTAATATTTTGATCAGCTGCTGTTTCATGGCATGCTTCTGCGCTACCAGTCGCTTCATCGAAGAGAAGCCTATTGGTGATCCTGGGATTTATGTCTGTAGCTTTCTTTCATCATTTTTCCAAAAAGCTTGATAAATTTACTTTGCCACTTCTATTATTGCATTAAAAAATGAGCTAAGACGTTCACGATTTAATGGGCCGTAACTTCTTGCCATGTTATTTTCCTGGATTCTTAACCCCTTCAGCCTTCTTTTCTTCATTTTCCCCGTCCATTCCGGGTGTGCTTTAGCATCTTGCATGTAAGTTAACAAAATCTTGAAATTAGTTATCGCGTGTCTGAAGAAATATATTACAAAATAGAGCGTGAAATGAGTTTAATGCTCTTCGGACAGTGTGATGGCCATCGGTTTACCGTTCAACTCATAATGGAAAGTGTTGAGATCGGTTTTCTTCACGTGTTCGATTGTTAGCTTTCCATCATGCCATTTGATCCGATCACCGTAATGCTCGTGCTGCAACGACAGGTCAAGTGCATTTGTATTTAATCTTCTTTTGCGCGTACTAGCAAAATACCAAACCCTTCTGAACCCCGAAATTCGCTAGGACGCGTCAATACGGCGGGGCTGCCGCATGCAATACAAAGTAGATCATCACGGTGAGCCACTTAAGCTGAACTATAACCGGAACCCAAGTCAGATGTTAACTAATTAATTCTTTCAAATTTTCCTTTAACTTCATTCCTTTAGATTTACTAAGTCATTTTAGTTGTTACATATGGTTTGATAGATTTTGTCTAGTTTTCGTGTCTTTTTGCATTAGTGCAAGTGAGGGAGCGCGATAATCCAATCTTGTCTATTTGTGAATGCGTGTATCTCTCCGCACATCCAGGTCAAGAAATATCTAGTTCAGACTCCAACTAGTCCGTCAGCCCAAAAACAATTTGGGCGTGTCTTTATGATTTGTGCTAGTTTTTCAATCTGACAACCAGAAAGCTTCCAGCTAGTTAGCTTCATCAAATAAGTCTAGATGGATAGTCTGAAAACTAGTAAAAACTTCCTACTTTTTTGCCGAGTTTAGAATAATTTTGTAGTTTGTTGGTACTGTGAAAGTTGGAAACTAAAAGCTTCAAGATTTATCAAAAAGTCACTTTTTTTACCACTGATTTTTTACGGAAGAAACGGGAGAAAATAATTCAGATTTTTGTTTCTCTCGGCCATCATTGAACCCAAACTGGGATGCACCAAGCTTGCCGCTGCTAGCATGTGTTTTTGCACTAGGCTTAAATTATTCAGGTTGCTAAATGCATGAGTGATTGTTGCTTTACATCTATTATGCGTTTTGGCATTTATGCAAGTGCGAAAACGCATCCTGCGACGACCTCGGTGTGTGTGTATGTGTGTGTATGTGTGCGTGTATTTGTGTGTACGTGTGTGTGCGTTCTTCCAGGTATTTCAACTCGGCGCCCAAGCAAGCTTCGGCGCCAAAGTTCTGCGAGTGTGTCCCCGGATCAAGTGCCATCCCGGGATCATGGTACCAACTCTCACGCATGTCTAGCCCCGCCATGAGCACGTAAAAGTTTTGGCGGGAAAATCGCCAACTCAGGAATCAGAAAAGCTAGAAAGCTGAAATTCTGAGGTTATATGTATGGTTCCCGCGTACGGTCCTGTGAGGGTTCCTGGCGGGAAAATCGCTAACTCTGGAACCAAGGAAGCCAGGAGGCTGAAATTTTCAGGAAATGTTCCTAACACAGGTATAACCTAAAATTGCCGAATTTAGCTCCCAAACGTATGTGGTTATCATGTACGGCCCCGTGATATTTTTTGGTGGGAAAATGGCTAGCTTGGGAGCCAGGGAAGCTAGGAGGCTGAAAATTACAGGCAATGTTCCCAGCTTATGTTCAACAAAAATTTATCTCATTCAACACTTCAGGCATTCGTGATTCTCTCGTACGGGGCAGTAAAATTTTTTGGCGAAGAAATGTCTAACTCGGGAAATAGGAAAGTTGGGAGCTAAAATTTTAAGGACATATCCCCAGGCCTTGTAAAAGTTAAAGATATCAAATTCAACTCCCAGACACGTGTGGTTCCTATGTAGGGACCCATGAAATTTTTTGGCAGGAAAATTGCTAACTCAAGAACTAGAGAAGTTGGAAAATTGAAATTTTAGCGGAGTGTCTCCTGTCCAAGTACTGCGTAGGCAATTAATTTCCCGAACTTCGAGGCCCAGTATGTCACAAATCCTAGCTGCTGGGTTTCCGAGCGGTCTAATTACAGCACGAAATACTGCTCGCACGGGCCCGTCTAGTGCGCGTCGCCAGTGATCTTTTGCTCTCACTGTTGTGAATATTCGTAAATTCTGCATAAAGGAAATGAATAATTTCCGTTTAACATTCGTTCTGTGAAAATATCCTATTTGTTAAGTGAGCGATTTTCCCGCCAAAACTTTCAAACGCTCGTACGAGAGGACCACAAATAACTGGAGTCTGAATTTGAAACATTTAAGTTCAGGAAACATTTACCTAAAATTCCAGCTTTTTAGCTTTTCTGGTTCCCAAGTTAGCAATTTTTCAGCCAGAACTTTTCACATGCCCACGTGTACCGGGGGCTGAATTTGAAATCCTTAAGCTATACGCAATCTGCTAACGCACCTTTGAAATTCCACCCTTCCAGCTTTTCCGGTTGCTCAGTAAGCAGTTTTCTGATAAAAACTTTTATATACCCGTACATGAGAATCACGCACATCTAGGGACCAAACTTGAAATCCCTAGCTCACACATGAACAGAGAATATCTTTGCGAAGTTTCAGCCCTTCATCCTTTCTGTTCCCCAAAATCGCTTCCCCGCCAAAAAATTCGCATGTTTTTTCAAGGCATCTGTACCCGGCACCCATTCATATGCGGGTGATAACATTAAAACGGGAGAGCCGCGCACGGTGCATGCAAATACTCCCAAACTTTCAGCCTTCTAGGTTTTCTGCTTCTTGAGCTGAAAGTGGGTGACAAAAGCGCGAACACAAAGACACACACATACAGACAGCCTCTTGTCGATATGCGCTTGTGCGTTTGCATATATGCGAAAACACATAAAAATCTGCTAAAGGTTGTTAACATACCGCATACTGAGTCAATTTGTCATGATTCACAATTTCATGTTTGTGATCACTGGATTCACATTCTACTTTCTCCACATTTTTGCCAAATTCCAGTTCCGCGGTGGCGCCCAGTTTTACCTGATGTATAGCAGCCGCGGCATTGGCATCATGGAGGAGCGTCAATAAGCTCACGCACAACAACAAAACCCAACCTAAAAACCATTTTGCAGGTGAAAACCTTCATTTCCAAGAGCACGTCACTAAAGTGATGGGAACAGATCTTTTGTGTTTTTTTCACTTTACAAATTATTGTTTCATGTTCTAATCCGCCATTTCCTGGCAGCCTTTAACTAGAATAGCGACTCCGTGTCCGGTGCATTTCAGCCAAACATCTCGTCGGCATGATATTTGAATATCACCTGACCCCGATCAACGCCCGTCCAAGACTAGTTTCAGGGATGAAGCATTTCCCACTCGTTAAATGAAACTACCCCGGAAGAAAGTAATGCTTCTAAATCTCGGCCGAATTTCAGTTATTGCCAGGAAAATAACTTAGAATCTTCCTAGTTGGCCCTTCTCCCATTCTCTGTAAAAAAATTTTCTACATAAATCACTTTCACCAACAATCATCTATGTCAATTCCCTATCGCCCACTTCCCTTCAAAACATTCAGGTTCAGTTCCATCCAATCATCCATTCATCCTCACTCTTCCTGGCGATTCTCTCTCTCTTGCTTCGTCGTCACATTGCCTCGATCTTCCTCTCTCAATAACAAATACTTCCAGTCTCCGAGACGTGCTTGGTCAAGGATTTTCCACAAACCGATAAATCAACATGTTCTCAAGCAGAGATGAGTTTTAGCATCAATTTTCAACGTGAGTCAATCCACCAAATAGTTTAACACTTGCTACTTTTCGTATAGCTCTCACTTGCCACTTTTCGTATAGCTCTCTTCATGTATGGGCTTTTTATTGTCTCTCAAATGCAAGTGGATGCACACAATAAGTCAGGATACAGAATGCGATGTTTCGACATTTCTGGATTCTCACACGACCAGAAGGTACGCCCGCAAACGTCTTCCAGACTTTCGTAGTCTTGGAGTTGAATAATTGCAACAGATACACACAGGCTTAATGTCAGTACACTAAGTTTTCAGTAGCGTAAATGCGAAAACGTTTGGCAAGCCAAACTGAGAAGCATTAAAATGAAGAAGCAAAATTCCTAACCAGCAAGCATTGTGGAAGATCAAACGGAGTTCTAAGCGGATTTTCAGAAATGAGCAAGCAGGCTAATCCAGAGAATCCGCAAAACAGCAACTGCTGGAAAAGTACTTCCCCATAGAATCTCGAGCATACCAATTTTTTTCTTTTTGTTAAAACTTTGTTTTCGTTGTTTGACCTTGATTAACTCATCGAGCAGCTGCTTTCTCCCTCCTCTCTCCTTTCGACAATTTTCTGTTTCCTGGGTTGATAGATTAATGAACCCCACTTCTGTGGCCTCAAAATTCTGTTTTCCCTTCCTCTTCGAATAACTCGAAACAAAAAGCAGCTCCCGAAATCAATCACGTACACATACACACATAAGCATAAATACACACCCACGTGACCGCCCACATACGCACATGAAAATAACCCTGGACACTTTATCATGTGCCTTGGCTGTGCAGTGAGCAGTGAGCAAAAAGGTATATTGTCAAAAGGCTCGCAGTGCTTCTCACTCACCTTCAACTTAGCAGCCAAGAAAGTTGCGAGTGTGTTCCCAGCACATTTTTCATTCTTACAACCTGAAATCATTGCTCACCTAGTATGAGCTTCAAGTATGAAGACCAAAAAAGAAGTATGCAGATTTTTCAGATGAAAGACGATTTCGAGAAACAGACAGCTAGAAAGCTGAAATTTGAAATTTAACACTGATTTTCCTGTTCATGTGCACTTATGTCAAAGTTTTCAATTCTTAAAAATTCCGTGTTGCAACTTTTGCAAGTTCACTTGAATCCATTTTGGATGACAGGGATCATGCAAGCAAAAGAAATAAGAAGTGTATTTTAGCTTTTTGCCAGTACTGTCCAAAAAAGTGGACATCAGACTGTGTGAATAGCCAAAGCCTCGAACGTCAACTTCTCAAAAGTGTTTTTTAATAGTAATAGAAATCCGTATGAACAAAAAATAGTGGAATCATTTAGGTTCAAGACTGTTTGGATCATAGAACATAATACTCATCACCATCGGTTTGTTTACATTGCCATCCTCATAAAAGTGATATCTAACTCCATCATACTCCTTGAAATTCTTGACCAGCATTGTTCCATCGTGGTACGACAGTCGATTGCCAAATCTCTTCATCTGAATGCGCAGTTCCCTCACTGTATTTCAAAACTGCTCGTTAACGGTACTTTTACACAGCTATCCTGAACCACTGCCAATGGCTCCCACTTAAGCGATGCCCGAAAGAGGAAGCCAGTGACAGCCTCACCAGTGCGAAGTTGCTGTTAGCAAGGTGCGAGCCCTAGGATCATCAAGGAGTGCCTCCACCTTTCCTGAAAAACTGAGGAAATTTTGACTCTTTTTTTGCACATTCAGAGGATCATTCACTAACGGGTATTTCCTGGTTCGTCACTGGATACAATTTGCTGCAAATTCGCTGAAACTGGCTTAATGCATGGTGCTGAAATCTATTCTATTGTGCAAAGAAAGCACCTGGCGTAGACCTTACCCAGTACATCCAGAAGGAAAGCAAAAACCGGACTTACCCCAGTTTGGGTGACATTCCCATCCTTGATAATAAAGCAATCGCCAACCCATATGTTCCGCACATCACGTCCAAATTCTAGATATACGTCCTCTCCAAGTCTCACCCAAGTGCCCACTGAATAGCCTTTGCCCTGTGCAAAGAACGCTGCCGCACCACAGACAAATAGCAGAAAGTTCATCCTTGGCCTGAGCGAATTGTTCTGACCCAGCACTAGCAATCGTACAAATAGACAAAGTGCGCTTTGGCACGAATGAGCCTCTGAACGGAATTTCAGGTTTTTATATGCTGCGGACATTTCGCATAAATCAGACCGCACTAATGTGGAGAATTTTTACAAAAATTCTGGCAGCAACAAAACTGGCAAAGATTTGCTCTGCGCTTCATCAGCTGAATTTCATTCGCAGTAACATGCATCTTCTAGAAATCACTATTTGGGCTTTCGCATTTCAGTCAGGCCATTGATACTATTGCGAGAAATTATTAATCCGTAAACTGCATAGCTGAAGATTAATTAATTGGTGTATTTGACTAATGTAACACCGAATACGACATTTTCACGGCGTTTTCCAGGTTTCTATGCGAAATCTGCTTTTTCACTTTTGATTATAAATTCCAGCTGGGTCTTATAGCTGTTTGTAACCACTTCGGCCCGGCATGATAGAAGACGCTCTTTGAAAGTCTCAGATACTTGGCACGTGCATATTTCGAGCTTCCAGTGACGCATTTGCAATGACAGCTGTGTCTATAACTGCGTGCGTTGCACTGCGGCATTCAATCTCCACAGCTTCCCATCTGGCAACAAGACAAAGAAGAGCGGTTTTAATCCTATTCTGGATTAGGATTTTAGCTGCGAGAAGTAAAAATGCTTATTTTTGATATAATACTGCAGCTTGATATAATACTACATTAAGAACTAATTTAGTTATGGATGGAAATTTAGAATCGTAATTAGTATTGATAAGAACAGCTGAAGTTGGTGTTATACTGATGCGAAACGTGGTCACTAACGAAGACGGAACAGCATGCGGTGGCTGCGACGGAAGGAAAGATGATATGAAAAGTACTTAACGTGGCAGCTCAAAGTCGCATAAACAATCAGTCTTAATTAGATGAATGCCGTACAGCGTGTCATTATCATCATATTCGACAAGGCATATTGCTCGTTTTGTCAAGAAATGGCTGACGTCGCGCATCAGTGAGTGGTACCCAAAAGAAGTAGGGAGACCCGCTACAGCGACCTCTGAAGTAATGGCGCAAGTAATTATAGAAGAGGCGGTGGGTATTAACTGGAAACTTGCAACCCGGGATCTATGGGCCTGGTGTAGCTGCGTTAGGAACGTGGAAGTATTCCAATAACATCACTAACACAGAATACCTACACTGACAGCCCGAGCTGCCAGTGTAGGTATTCCGTACTAGTGATGTATTTTGGTACTAAATCAAGCAACAACCGGTGGTGATGGCTCCCTCTTTCGAGGATTGCTTACAAGCAAGTTGATGGCATGTAGCCGACAGTATTCTCGGTATTAAAAAATTAACATTTTAAATCCGTAAAAGTTTCGTGCAGCAGCTTTTACAAGTTTGCCTAAATTCAGTTCAAATGTACAGCTTGCCAGCAAAAGAGAACAGATATTTATTTCAATTTTTTTCGCTATATTGTTCAACAGTTCGGTTATCAGATTGTGCGAACGGTCAAGGCCGGTTCGCCAGCTTCTTCAAAAGTACCATTTATCAATCACAACAATTCATTTAGAAGAAGTATCTTGCTTTTCCAAACTGACCATCAAATGCATCTGTATCGTTTTTTGATCGTGTCCTCGGTAAAAAAATGTTGTGGTATCACTTTTTTGTACATCCCTGATTTTCATCACTCCATTCTTGAACGATGCTCGGTTCTTGAATCTCTTTTGCTGAAGGATATTCAATTATTTCCAAACGATTGCTAATGACAACTGTATAAATTTCTAGATAATTGCCCTGAACAATTGCCGTCACCTTGCTTCTAAGTAGTATTTGAAAAAAAGAGCTAACGGCAGTCTTGTTAACCAAAGTTACTATGACATGGTGCGGACCCCCGGACCACCCGCGAGTGCCTCTATCTTTCCTGAAAGACTGAAGGAGTCTTGATTCTTTTTGATTCTGATTCTGACTCTAGTATTTGCTTGGTGCGTCACTGGATATGATTTCCTGTAAAGAAAGTGTAACTGCCTTAGTTTAAGGTTACTGTATCTTTTCTACTGTGGAGAGAAAACACCTGGCGCAAGCCCGGGTGAATGCACTAAACATGCGAGCAAACATCGAACTTACTCCATAGGCGGTGACTTTCCCATCCATGACCACCTCCCCATACTGCTTCTCCAGTACGTCCTGCGTATCCGACCCAAATTGAAGCTTCACATCTTCTCCAACATATGCGAGATATACAGGAGAATAGCTCTCGCCTTGCGCAAAGAACGCTGCCGCAACACAAACAATAAAAAGCAGAAAGTTCATTCTTGGCTTGAGCGAACTACCCTGACCGAGCACTAGCAATCGTATAAATAGAAAAGTGCGCCTTGGCACGAATGAGGCTTTCAGCAGAATTTCACGATTTTATATACTGTGCGCATTTTGCATAAATCAAGCGGAACTAATGTGTGCGTGCTCGCCAAATTAGCATAAAGTCCAGGCGGGAAATGAGCGAATGCTAGGAATTCCTTACCTTCGAAAATGGCGCAGATCGAAAGCCAGCTCAACGTCTTTTTTCTACCTCATAAAAAAAGACTTTTGAGCTGGCTTTGTATTAGGGCCCAATTTCATAATGGTGCCTGTTTAAATGCAAAATTTTGAGGACTCACAGCGGTTGAACCAATGAAATGAATGACAAAAATATTCCGACATTCGATTTGGAAGCTCTATTAGTTGGGCACAGTAATGAAGTGTAAGAATTTTTTCCTCTCTTGGCGG